ACACTTAAAAAAAGACAGGAACTTATGACACAGTATAACGAAAGTTATGTCAATAACAAGCGCTGCAGAGACACTAAAACAAAGGAAAGACAAGCAAAAAGGACTCAGGGGAGAAACAAGGAAAATAGAGGCAGCAACGGGAAGTCAGGAAACAATACAACAGAAAGGAAAGACAATGACATAGAAGGAAGGGAGAGAGCACAAGGAACGACAACAGGAACTCGAAAACGAGGATAAGAAAGAAAATGTATCAACAGGAACTCAAGAATTACTTAAGAAAGAATGGAAAACATCAGTTAATAAACAATATTAGCTCAAGAGGCAATAAACAAAGGCAACACAACAACAGAATACCAAGAGACAGTTAACAATAAGTTTGCAACAACAGGAACTCAAGAATAATATTGAAAGTCGTCAAAATTCCTACAAAAATCGGGTGAAAACATAACACACTGTCTCCAAACTGAAGACATTCAATAATATAACACACAGCATTACTTTTTTTATTTATTTTTTCGTGACCAAACAAGAAGACGTATGACTTTACATAACGCGTTTGTTAGGGTTGTGATAAAGCTACAAACTGCAATTCGAAATGATATATGCATAAACAAAACAATTCTTAAATGACAAATCGTCATAAGTACGACATATATTCAGCCAATTGATACATTCACAAGGTAGCCTGAAATGTTTTCTAAACACTTACGCCAATTTATGTTCATTTTCAGTGCTTCTATAACCGCTCAGTCTTCAAAAGAATTGACGACATCCGGGCTCAAGACATAAAGGATTAGTCCTCAACGTATCAATTGATGTCATGCAGTATCTATGGTAAGTAAAAGGTATGTGACAGCACCCGTTTACAATGCCTGGAAAAAATACTTCACTGAACAGTCCTTTAGAAATATCAGAAAGACGTAAGCAGTCCTTTGGCGATATAAGAATGACACAAATGTAAAAGTTTTGAAGACCTGTACGTAGCTTGAGTAACCTGATGACATTTGTTCTTTAAAGCATGTTATTTATAATGCTAAATTATAAAGGTCTACATGTGATTATAAATATAAGATATGCAGTCTACAGGACATGCTTAAATTTTGAATAAGTGTCATGAACTATTGTTTGATTTGGTTTGTTTGTGTTTTACGTCCTCATAACAGCTATGGCCATTTAAGGACGTGACAGGTTTTGGTGGTGAAGAAAAGTCGGAGTTCCCGGAGAAAAACGACCGACCTACGGCCAGTACCTGGCGACTGCCCAACGTAGGTCTCGAACCCGCGACCCAGTGGTGGAAGGCTAGCGGTAGCAGAATGTCAGACGCCTAAACCACTTGGTCACCGCGGCCCGATATCCTTAAGACTTGCAGATTCTGATTTTTTATTCTCAAAGACCTTCGTAAAAGACCAATAAGAATAGTTTTTTAATGGCATGCAAGAAATAACTGGGGTGATCCAGTTTGTAAATGTAAGGAAAATACGAGGGCTCGCATCTGAAACACATGCAACTTGAATCTATCGCTCCTTAGCATCTAGTCCTTTAAGGCATTAAAAAACGGATAAAACTAATATTGATAAAATCTAATACGAATTTGTATAAATTATTCGGGGCACAAAATGTCAGATTTTTAGACGCAAACAGTCTTTAATGTATGTATATCTAAATATTGCTTTACGATGCCGTATCATCACCATCGTACCATTGTGCAATCGCCCTCATACAACCGTGTCATCACATGACAGTTGTTATCGCAATGGTTCTAACTGGATTCCACAGAATGTCGGCAAGCAATTATCACCTGTTTGCGTGTGGGCCTTAGAGACCTGGGCCCAGTTGTTCAAAAGGTGGTTAGCTTAATCCCTGTTTAACAACACTTTGCAACCTTTAATAGTTTCGTCAATATGCAAGGTAAAATCTCACAATTTTGCATGTAAATTAACTCTATTAAATATATGATATCTGGAAAGTTGTAACGAATTCAATGGTTGTGTTTTAAAGTTACGCTTAAATTAAAATTTGCGCTAATCACTGATTAAGCTAATCACCTTTTGAACAACTTTGCCCTGATATCGAAGCTATTCGTTTTTTGCCCTAAATAATGGTTACCGTCAAACATTACTGCACGTCTGAGATTCGTTGTTGAGTGAATTGTATATGTTAAACAATTCTGAATGCCTCGGAGACTTGGATATCGACGAGCAAATTTACTTGACTTGATGTGTGGATGTCGTCAATACATTCGTAGATCCCTTATAATTACGAATTGCAAGTAATAGCTAGATTAGACAATGTTTAATCAGGGTTCATAACATAAACCCCCTTGTAATTTTTTTAATTTGTTTTCTTCAATTGTTCATTATATCGTTCAAAGTAAAATCTTTCTTGGGTTGTGGTTATAACGTATATAGATAAGAACGGAATGCTAGCGCACCAAACCATGCAATTAATGACACACTCGATTAGGACGACACCTTCCAGTTGGTTTAGTGTGGACTAACACGCACAAGTACCAGCTATGATAAACTCAACGGCGCAGAACTACATGTACATTCAGAAAGGTCCTAAAGGATAAGGTTCCGTCGGAGTAATGCCGCGATGTCATGGTGTCGGAAGTATCTGTCGCCACAGTTTACGATATCTCCAATTAGATAGAATGGATGATAGCGATGCTGTCGTGATCTGAAATGGCTGCGTTGTGGATTTTATGTATTCCTATCCGAGTCTCCATGGTTTTGTGGGAAGTTGACACGGAAAGTGCTTGATCTGAATCCCGGACAATGTTTCGTGCTTGACAGAAATAAGATTTTACGTCCATGATTTGAATATCATAACACAAATTCAACGAATTAATGCTGGGGTCGCATGTTTCACTAAAAATTAGCAACTTGGCATATATATATGTTCGACGGGTATAGGTGGGTTTTGTTTAATTCAAACATATCTTATTGAATATTGAATACGGGAAAAGTTCTAAATCAAAATGCAGTTTTGTGTTTTTATCTTTATGGAAGATGTCGGACTTTCAAAGCATAGGTTATAAAGGAAGAATGACGTGTATAAGCCACGATCAAACAGGCTATATATATTATATAATATATAGACTTTGGTAAGCTTATATTGGAAGACAACTCTTGCTGACTACGATGAAATATATTGCCTTTATGTGCTTTTCTCTCGCTTATCTCTAAATATCACCTCATAACCCCACCAAAGTAAGGGGTCGCATAGCCCGAGTTTCCTCTGGCCCTGGCACCAGACTTAGACATTTTGACACAGATAGATGTCTGGTGTGGGCACCAGATATCTATCTGTCAAAATGTCTAAGCCTGGTACTAGGGCCAGAGGAAACTCGGGCGAGGGGTTGCAGTGACCGAGTGGTCAAGGCGTCTGACCGTCTACGATCACTAGCCCTCCACAACTGGATCGTGGGTCCAAAACCCGGCACGTCATAGGACGTAATTTAAATAAGCATATATAATAGCACGTAAAACACAACCAAACGAAACACCACCAAAGTCGATATACCAATTCATTTCACTCACTTACACTCTGAGTAGAGATTGGTCGATAAACCTTGTAACCTTAAGCTTATTTTGAAAATATAATTATAACACTCAAAAGGATAAAAATTATTTCAAAAATCATTAGCTGATCCAAAATAGCTCGATTCAACCTGGAAGACTTCGAAATACACTGTACCTGCAAGGTGACGTGTAAATCGATCGTCTATCGCTTACACTCTTAATTAAACGCAGTAGACAATGGAGGTGATATGTATTGTAATTTAAAATAATAAGTGTTGTTTGTTCTTTCTAAGATTCTGAGTTGGTTTAATCTACATATATCCTCATATATTGCTAAGCACGTAACAATTAATTGAGATGACGTTGTAGTGCATTTTGGGTGAGTTTTCCCCCTCAACTGCTGACCCCCTTAAGAGGTTATCTGCTCAGGCGTTGGGTTGCGTTAGTGAGACCCTGTCACAGATAGCATTTCTCTACAATATCCAGGATTTTCTTTAGCATCTCAGAATTCGTAGATGTTTTGGTACATAGTTTTGAGTTTCTACTAAACCAAACCACTCATGAAATAAATAAAACAGTGCGAAGAGCCATGTATAAACATGAAATTTTATTGTCAATATTTCACTATTTTAGTCTAAATACACACAAAAGAGTATTGACGCACTAACTCGACCTTCATTCGAATACAGATCACAAATACTGCACAGGATCGTTACACGATTCTTGGAACGGCTGACTTGGACTATTAATTGGATTCTATGGTATAGAAGTTCATAGAAGTATGTATTGCATTACTCTTTTCGTTTGTGCTGTGAACGTTCGATCCGAGGTATATGTATAATTATCTTAGAAGTCTATGAATTATCATTAAGATTGATACGTGTGATTAAGACCTTCGTGTGCGTTGGACGAAGTCGTTATTGTTATCTATCCATTACATCGTCAGTTCCCGAATCCATTGATTCTTCTGACTTCACGTGTTTTTAATATCGGACTAGCGCAAGACTACTACTGCTACATGTACAATGTTATGTCATCCAGGCGTGCAGCTGCCTTGTAAGTAAATAAGCAGTTGCATATGCACATAAAAATTGTAACTTTCAAACATTAAATGGCTTTACAATCATGCTTTATAATTGTAAAAGGAATGTTTGACGATATTGCAAGGATGAGTGATGCGGTTCTACCATTTATAGTTTTCCTGAAGTCTTTTAAAACTTTTCGACATTGCTAAGTCTATTTTTAATGTATTATTATAATTTTATATCAAAAAAAAATCCGGCTTCTTTTTTGTTTTATAAATTCTTAAACAAAATGCACAAGAGAGAAAAAAATCAAAAAATGCAAGAAATTAAACACTCAAGTGTAGCTCTAAAAAGTGATGTTTAAGTGCCTTTAACTTTAAAACTCTGAGGCTCCATCAGGGATGTATAATACTTATTTAAGACATAGACATTTTAATTCGATAGAAAATGTCTTAATGATAATTTTTATTATTTGGTTTTAGTTTCCTTTTATTTTACATTTATTTATTCAAGTCGTACCCCATTGCCAGTGACTAGATGAAGGAATAATATCAAATGTTACTTGTAATAACAGAGTAATTTCACTTGCTATACTAATTAATTTAAGTCTCAATAATGTATTTATTGAAAATTTGAATTAATTGGATCTTGTATCTCGTTTTTAGATTATTTACCATCACTGGTCCGATGGCTAAGTGCCACTGAGTATTCTAAGTGTTCTATTGCATTTGCTTTATCAGAGACGTATATTATACGTCTCTGGCTATATCAAGCATACTTTTTTCACTTACCAAATACTAATTTGCAGTATAACTCTCTTTAATTGTTTCTGTTAAAGTTGTAAATATATATATATACTGGTTAATATATTCCAAGAATTCAACACCATGTGTTTATTGTTTGGCCAGTATCATGAGACCAGTATATTTCATTTCCGATCTAGGACACAACTCAGAAATATATATACTTATCCGGAACTTGCTACAGGCTTCGGTTAATCTTGTATGTAATCACTGTGTTATACACGCTTAAAATATACGTAGAAACACGTTCCAGACAAGCTTTCCTGTGATGCTGATCAGTACACGTGCTTACAGAAAAATGACAACTACCAGTGAGGTAAGGGTTTATACTTCATAGCATTGATCTAACCTTAAGTGTGGTATTGATCGATAAAGGTGCCCTTCTGGTGCCAGGTGCATCATTGCCCAGTAGAAGATTGCGAATCGTGTTGCGTAAACTATACTGTACAGCTGCCAATCTATCGTGGGAGGTGAGCGGTTTCCCGTACAGCCTTAGTTTTCTCTGGCCGTGATACCAAACTGGGACATTTTGACAGGTCAGATGTCTAAGACTGGTGCAAGGGTCAAAGGAAAGTCGGGCTAACTTGAATCCACAAGATTATGTTCTTCCTAATATAATGTTAGTAATAGTAAGACAGTATTGACAGATTAGTCAACTAATGATCTGATCAGAATTTCAAACACCTGTGATCTGATCATGATGGGACCACTCAAGCATAGAACATTGAATTGTTGTATAGTAGCATATAATTATACAAGTGATACATGTATCACCACCATGCTCCACCACCACAAAATTAACTGGATTGTACATAGTGTAAACATACACTGAAAAGGGTGAAAACATCTAGAAGGGTAAACAACCACATCTTCTCATTCTGTAGTCCTCAAACAGTCTTGATGTCTTTTATTTCTTGCCAATACTCTGAGTGTACATTAACGGGAATTACAAACTAGCCTGAGAAATACATTGATAAGCCAATAGTCACAGCTTTAGCTGTTAAGATCCCTACATGTATTGTTGTAAGCGTAGGCATGCTAACGCCGACACAGAGGATAGGGTTAGGTTAGATAAGATTAATTTATTAAGGTGATTAGACGGACTTCCAAAATATAGAACAAAATCAAATAGAGTAGGCTAGGGTCACAGGACAGCCTGAATGTGGTAGACATGCTCTCCTCCTACCTCCGTGCTGTTAATTTAATTTAGTCTGTGAGTACCAGACATCGGTTGGCGACAAATCAAATTTACCAACCATTTTGACTAAGGAGTTGTGTTCCAAATGTCACCCTGGTAAATAACTAGGCGCTTCCTACCAACTCGGCTAAGGAGAATTTCTCTTCAGCTCATTCGGTAGGCATGTAAGACTAATAAGCCAGAGGTCCCTGGTTCGACTCCTAGCGGAGGCATTGAAAAAATAATGACCTCTGTTACATTGGCGCCGGGTAATATTGACAAATATACTCAGCGATACTTTCACAAGGATCGCTATGACCCCTGGAAAACTTGGGACAAGTTCTTTCCTGGAGGGGGAGTATGTCACCTTGGTAAAATATTAGCAGCTTCCTACCGACTCGACTAGGGAGAACTTCTCTTTAGCTCATTCGGTAGGGCGTAAGACTAATAAGCCAGAGGTCCAGGGTTCGACTCCTAGCAGAGGCATTGAAAAAATAATGACCTCTGTTATTCCCCCCCTTGAACTTTATCAATTATAAAAGCAGTGTTAAGTGTGATCAGTGGCTGGATGGGTACATGCTAGCATGTTACATTTAGCGGCAGAGTCATGACGCTTGGGTACATTGAAAGGCTCATTCCCAGTTGCTAGGGATGGTGCACTGGTACTCAGGGCGGTCCTAAAGAACTTCTAAGGTAAAGGTTGGGGATGGGGGGATGAGAAGGCTGGGTGGCAGCTAAGTAATGTGAAGGGAAAACAATACTGCCTTACTGACAAGCTGGCTTTTACCAGTGACGCATTAAACCTTGGGAACATGCTCAATAGTTCAGTTAACATTGATTGTTGTCAGTGGCTTAAGCCAGTTAGGGTGCCATTCTGTACATCATATAATCATATAAACACTTTTTCACCAGTATGACTCTGGCAGAATAACACTATTTGCACTCACACACAAAAATATTGCTATTCATCCAACTGCCATACATTCATATGTCTATTTATGACATTTTTTTTCAAATGTGAAGGCAAAGTCCTGTGTTTTAATTAAAATTATCTTTCATACCAATTTCAGCATAGGGAGTGGGCACATGAGATTATATGGAATTGTGCAAGTATTTTTATAGGGACAGTTGTGGTACATTTGTATAAAGAAAAGGGGGACCAACAACTTCACAATCAATGTAATAATCACTGACATTTTGCCCAGACGATGGCTTACTTATAATTAGCTGGTTGGAACATTTAAACAACTCTATAGCAAAAGAAGAATATACTTTGTGGAAACAAGGCTGCAGGAGTTGCTACTCTTGTTTTAATTTTTACATCTATGTATACATACATCCGGAGGACGTCCAGTACGTATACCTTGTTTAGCTCCAGCTGTCTGCGTGATTCCGCGATTGTGCAGTGGGTTTTATTAGAAAACCTCACTCCCTCAACGCACGACTTTCTCACATGTCACATATATGCACCTGGACATGTACTCAAGACATCACCATATTATTACATAAACATTCTAAGGAATTGAACAAAGTCTAACACATATTTATTATATTGATATACCTGGGTATATCCCTGTGTCATATATACTAGTAAGCATGTGAATGTGTTCTAGACCATTCATGTCGGTACTTTAGAAATGAGGCTGGATATCGTTTGATCTGCAGCATCCTTCAAGCTGTCAGACTATAATCATTGTGGAAATTTTACACTGAAGTGTGTAGGAGTTACAATGTGTGAGCTTTAAGCTTATCACACTGTCAAGCCAGCTAGCACATAGGTGAACTTCTGGGACGATTTCCTGCATTACAAAGGATTCTACTCTACAGATGCACAGAACATTTCCTTTTTCTGTCTGATTCATGAATTGATGTCCAGATAGTTTAGAATTGTAAGCCTCTAGAGTGTGATTACTATAATGGTGTTGAGATCTTTGTAGTGATTCATAATTATAACAGTTTGAGGGCCTTTTCAGACATAATACAACTACTATCTGTATGTGGAAAACTATCTATGATAGTAAATCTGACATAAAATGTTTCAAATTTGCTTATTTTTTACGTTGATCAGATAATTGGCATCACTATCCCTTGATCAACTGGGCGGTAAACATTTTAAAATCTCCTTATGCAATCTATACAAGCCTACACTGATCATGAAATGTTGTTCTGGCATTTGGCACAAAATGGGAAAATATCATTGGTGTTCCCAGTATAAAAAAAAATATGTTTGGAAAAAATAAAAATCCTGAAATATGATAAGCAAAAACGTTTTTATCCGTTTCTTTCAGTAAAATGTATAGCAATAACTAAACATATAAATTTTAATATTATTTTTTTGTTTATTCAATTTAAAATTTAAATTATTCATGTACATGTTTAATGCTCTATTATAGGTCTACAGAAATACTTTGAATGTTGACATTTGATGACTGGAAACTCATAAAACATGCTTTTTAATCCAATTGGAAAAATAAAGACCAATATTTGGAAAGGCAGGGTCATTTTCAAATTGGGAATGGGTCCCTTTACCAGACCCAACAAACTTTGCTCGTCTAAGTTTCGAAAATGTATAATGACTTGAAGAAATTCTTGAAAGGAAGTTTTTTCACTGGAAGGCATTACTTGAGTTACCAAAAATTCTTATTTAAACTAAGGGAAATTTCCTAACACCAGTAAACATGTTTTCAAATTGAAATATTAACCTGCATGGTGATACAGTTGAAGTTTTAATGAATCTTTTTGGAAAAAAAAACATACTTTGCAGAAATTTTTTGCAAACATTATAAAGATTAAAATATTAAACAAAAAAAAGATATCAACAAATGTATTCCAAGAGTAAAAATGCAATAAGGCCTTAATGGAGATGGACACTGGTCCTCAGATCAAAATGAGCAACCTGAGGCCAAAGAAAATATGCATGTTTCAGGTACCCTACCCTGCTGTACCCTAATTTCTACCTCTGACCTTACTATACAATTATGTCTCACTCAAATGCACTCCATTCAGTGTTTGGATAACTTGTCCATCCGATGCAAACAAATTGATGGACAAACAAACAAGGCAACTATATATATACCCTTTCTACTAAGTACATTATCAAAACCAAATTTAAATCCCATCTTGTTATTTAAAAGACCCAAAAATATGTTTGGTGATTTTTGTATTTTTTTAAATTAGCCCCCTCAAAAATAAATATGAATGTATTTATATAAAATAAAAATGAATCCCGACCAACCTTTGGTCTACCCCTATTTTTTTCAGTCATGTTACCTGAAACATGTTTATGGGGGCTGATCAGCTACAGTTCCCTGGTCCAGCTACGCTACAGTTTTATCCAAAACATTATTAACTCCTTCACCCATGAAGACAGGTTTGAACTCTTCCAATTCAAAGGTTGGAATAGTTCATTATGAAATTTCAGAAGTAAATATGAGTTCAAGAGAGGTTACTGTATGGATACAGTGGAATTTTCTGATATTTTGTCTAAAGTGGTTTATTTTATGTTTGCAGGTGTTACTAACGAGTGAGGCCTCGGGCCAGATGTGGAACGTGTGTGTGTGGGACTTCCACTCCTCCACCAGTCTCCTCACCTACAAAGGCGGGACCACTGCACCTCACGGTCTGGCCGTCCTCAATAACGACTTCATCATCTCGGCTCTCACCACAAAACCAGTCCTCAACATCTGGTCACTTCACAAAAGGGTACACAGTACATACACTTACCTTTCATTTTTGTTTCGTTAGAGTTGTTATGACTAAAAATATTCTAAAAGTCTATTCTAAGGTTGAAAATCAAGATGGGGTGATAAAATATCTTTAACTACACATCTTTACTGGTAGTTTGTTTATTTTTATATTTTATGTAAACTGTATTGTATCTTTCATTTGGGAATTAAAGTTATCTTTTATCATAACAGATGTGCAATGGATTAGTTTTTGTATTATTCTTTGGCCCTTGACAATTTAGTACTAGTTTAGGGCCAAGCAACAAAATCAAATGTTAAATAGAATAAATGTACAAAGAATAAATGTACAAAGTAGAATAAATGTACAATTGTACCTGCTTTTTTATGACTTCTTTATAAAATTTAATATAAGCAAACCAATTTAAATTCAAAGATTATAATGACCTGATAATTGTAAAATGGTTTTGATAACTGTGCAATGTAAATGGTGTCAAAATTACATATCTTTCAAACAGGACAACCAGCAGATGAAAATGGTTTGTCCTGGCAGAGTTACTGCCCTTGATGTGACGCCCAATGGAGAGTACTGCATTGCAGCTGTGTCCGAGAAAATCCACATCTGGCAGGTAGTTTGAATGTTATATACAGTTCTTCTATGATTACTGTATACACACATATCATCATTTATCACATACTGTTCTCTGTTATCCAATTAATATACCCATGTCATATGTATTTGCCTTATTAGTCCATGGTAATATGACCTATCAGCCCTGTGAGTGGTTGTAAGTTTCAATTGTTTCAATTGTTTCAATTGTGACATCACGCCTAGGACAAGTACATGATGTCACAGACTTACGCACTGGAGTCAAAATGGCAGCTTTTTACATTCCAGGGTAGTTAGCATGAAATTTGTCGTTTTACACAAATAAATGCCGCAAACCTTGATTATGTGATAAAAAGGATCTTACACTCGTTTTTATTTCAAATGAAATTTATGAAACTCGTCAAATTTTTCATTTTAGCACGCCAGAGGTTCGCTAAATTAAAAAAATCTTGGACTCGTTTCATAAATCTCATATGAAATTGAAACTCCTGTAAGATCCTATATATACTTTTACATATTATCTCACGTAATAGTTCCGATTGAAGAATCAGGGTTAAAACAGTGGACATGACATTATGGCATTTCACAATGTGATACAGCATTGAAAGACAATAGAAATGAGGTCTAAAATGTCGTCATTGAAGACTTAACATTTCATCAGAGAAAACTGTGCATTTTAAAGTGTTAGACTGGTCATGATGTTCTCTGTGTTTAGATTGACACAGCTTTATTTAAACGAAAACTTGTAGACTTATTTAACATTAACTTCAAGATATAAAATTCTATATGTATTAACACTGCTACTTCCCTGTAAAGTATACAAGTACCAGTTTGTGTGTACATCCCAGTTTGATTCAGATTTGATGTGAAGGTCTTCAGGGGATTCCTTTATTAGTATCCCGACATAATGAAGAAATGAGAGATCCAACACTCCTAATGTAGAAAATGCGGTAGTGTTCTCGGGTGGATCCACAGGGGATTCACTATCAATCCTTACTATAGAAACATAAAGGGAAATAAAAGGATTCTCTACACCACAAAAACAGATTTGTTGTTTACTTTGTTTTGTTTACTATGGGTCCTGATGATGGCTGCATAGCAGTCGAAACATGTACACGTCAAGTAAACAACAAAGCTGTTCTTGTGGTGTTAAGAATCCTTTTATTTCCCTTATGCACCCCAACAGTACTACCAGAAGGGACTTAAGGTGTGCACTCTCTTCATCAATCTGTGCAAATATCTCCAATACTCTGTTGCCTACAATTAGCAGCTTTTGCACGAGAATACCACTATAAATGGTGGAGTGTCACATATTAAAACCAGGGCTTGTGTCCCACTATACACAGAGTTATTGCCCTTTGTTCACCTTGCATCACATTGTTTTGGGCAAACAGTGTATATCTTTTGTACCCTGTCAGCTACGTGTATGATTGCTAAATTTTCATTCCAACTCGTTCCTATAGTAAGATGTCAAGTCTCTTGTTTCAGTATCTGATAACAGACATCAACATGTTTGTATTACTAGGTATGTACGGGACACCTGATGACCGTGCTGGGCAGACACTACCAGAACGTCACGTGTCTGCGGTGCTGTGACGACGGGTCGTACTTCGTATCGGGAGGCGATGACAACATGGTCATTGCCTGGTCACTTGGCAGGTATGTCTATTTTTATCGTAATAAGCATGTATGTATATCTAGATTATAATTATTATACCTATAATTAACACATTCCTTGTGGAGTGTTATGGTTTGGCCACACAGGGCATGTAGGTATGTCTTTATTACTCTAAGCATGTATCATATGTACAATGTGTTTCCTTTAATGGTACAGAAACAGATTCCATTACAGGACACTACACTGTCCAACGTTTCCTGACAATTTGATATATATGTATTTATTCTGTTATATTTCGTTCCATGTATCATTCAAACATAAATTGTGTTACAATTTTCAACAATCATAGCAATAACAAAGTACATGAAAACATCAGGTACATAACTTCTTCAATTGATTCTCTTATTTATAATACATTAGAACCAATTAAGAATAAGTTTTGAGAAAATGCATGTTAACTGTTATAGTTTCTGAAATGACCCCTGTTCATGTTAGCACAAGAATGAAAAGTCTTATGAAGGTTGCAGAGTCAGCTGATTGATTGAAATGATTTACAGAAATAAACCAACAGATGAGTCTTGTTTCCATTACAGGGTGCTATCAGAGACTGGTGAATACAGTAACAGACGAGCGCCGGTACATGTATGGTCTCAGCACTCCCTCCCCATCACAGATATACACATAGGCTACGGTGGCAGTCGGGCCAGAGTTGTCTCCTCTTCCCTTGACCAGTCCTGTCGTGTAAGTATAGCCAGTCCTGTCCCTAGCATCTTTTAAGATATATGAACTAATAGAAAAGAATTCAAGTTTTAAAAGTATTGTTACAAAAAAGATTAATTAAAAAAACTTTTTATGTGGTAAGCAAACCAGTCATTAATATATACATAGTGTGCAGTGATACTTTGTAACAATTTTCTTGTATTAAGATGTGAGGGAAAGATGAATTTAATTCTATATTTTATTTCGAAATTATCATTTTACAAATCATTTATAAAATTTGATACTGTTGGCATCACTATAGTAACAGTACTTTAACTTCACAGTACGATTAAGATTTTGCAAATATACGACCTACCTTCATCGTCTATGTTGGTTATGTTGTACAGATGTGGGACCTGGCCTCCGGGGAGATGATTTGCTGTATCGTGTTTGATGTCAGTATAACGTCCACTGCCATGAATCTCACCGAGAGCTTGCTGTTTGCCGGGGGATCCAACGGCAATATTTACTGCTACAATCTATACGACAGGGTACGTTAACAGGTAGTCTCTGACTTCTATAGAGTAATACGTTGGCAGGTTGTATCTATGGATAAATATCAATTCACATGAAATTAGCTGCTTGATGTAGGAATATATAGTCTTGTAATGGTGGCATTAATCATGTACCGTAAATATTTGCGTACAGTGCACACTTTTTTAAGGGAAAAAATTAAAGTGTCAAGAAAGGGGTGTGCACCATAAACAAGAGCAATCCAAAACCAGTCCTTGGTCGTGACCATTTATCGTAAATTTTTCGGGGATTTTCGGAAATGTTTTGAAATATGTGCTTGCAGCAATAATATTCAATCTTGACAGTAGGAATGTGTCAAAACGACATGGGGAAAGTGGCGAAGTTCACAGGTTTTGTGTACTGCAAAGAGTCAAGGTCGCATGATACTATTCAGCGGCAGGAAAACAACGTTGTTATATTCCAATTACCTGTTCTGCCCTGCCAGGTGTCAACAGATCTCCCAGTGCTGGAGGTGTCGATCAACGCTAGGCCTAATTAACGATTAGGCTTTGTGCGATATGTTTTCCCAACATAATTAATTATTTCGGTGAATGTGTTTATTTAGTTATTAACCTTTACTTGTGATCTACCTGGTTGCTGCTATTAGTCCAGCTTGACCTTTTTTACAGAAAAAATCTCAATATTTTTTTACATTTTATTTTTTCATTTTTTTTACAAAAACAAATTTCCACACAAAAAGTGCCTGCGAACTATGCACAAGTATTTATGGTAATGATCATAAAGGAATGCATGAACAATTAATTCATTTTTTATTTTAAATATTTCCAGATGAATCATTAAGACACACCACTAAAAGTTGCAATAGAATGTGTTTGTCTTAGCATATACCTTCGTGCTTATATTTTCATTTCAATATTTAGAACATGTGATCAATATAAATACCTTAAGTTTTGTTGCATTTTCCAAATCAAATACCTATATTTGTTTGGATTTCCATTACTTTTGAAGTGATATGGAAAAGATAAAGATTATTTCTTCTTGTATTTTCTGTCACAATATTTTACCGTTTCATTAAAAGCCATAAAAGTAGGAACTATAGCTGCTGCATTTCACAAGTACTTTTAATTATATTAACTTGACTTTCATAGCCCATCAGAACAGAAAGACACATACAGAGTGACACAGATGACCCAAGTACAACTATCTATAGTGGCCACAGGTGAGTACATGACCCAAGTACAACTATCTGTAGTGGCCACATGTGAGTACATGACCCAAGTACAACTATCTATAGTGGCCACAGGTGAGTGCATACATGGAAACTCATTTGCATATTCATCAAGTTACTTTATTAACTACAGTGAAACCTCTTTATACTGTCACCATTTGTCAGGAGACATTTTGACATTAACATTAGAAAGGGGTTTGGAGATAAATTGATGGAAATTTATAAAAGAATTCTTCTGCAAGGGAAAAGGGACATTGAAATATGTCGGTGGTAAACGAGGTGGCAAATGAAATGACGGGCATTATATCTAGGTTTTACTTTGTAGTTATTACCAAGAAAGGTTAATGCAGAATATTGTAATACAGTATTGTGACATATCTAACTAAAACATAACTGAATATTAAAAACACTTGTTACAACTTCTGTGCCTTTATGTTGTGACATATTTCTACAGATACATACTTCTGTGCATATTTAGTGTTCATTCATACTTCTCAATGTTTATATACTTGAGAGGGGGGAGGGGGGTGTTAAAGTATACGGGGAAACTTTTGACAAGTCACATTTGATTACTATGTTTAATATATCACTTATTACTGTAAGCTGTGTTTATAAATTTGCACTCATTGCAGATGGCGAAAAAGTTGTTCTTTTTTAAACTGCAGTGAAAATTTCCCGTATTCAGTATGGACTTTTCCAACAGATGTTTGTGCATTGATTATACACTTTTCTGCTAAAGATGAAAAACAAATTCATCATCAATATCTTTTTTGATGGGAAATTGTATCCTTTTTTTTAAACACTTTCTCAACCATTACTTTATACTTTGTTAGTAAGCAGGTAACTTGCCTGTCCATATCACTGGACGGGAGTCAGCTGGTATCCGGGTCACATGACTGTGATGTCAGAGTGTGGGACGTGTACAGCGGACAGTGCATCAAAACAGTGCCACATAAAGGTTTGTTTGACACTGTCTAAAATGTTGGTAATTTTAATATTAAAATCAAGTACAGTATAGAACACAAAATGTCACTGACAGTGTTTAAATACAAAATGATATCAATAATCACTGAAAGTATTTAACAAAACATGTTCATCTTGCATTATTTTCTGTATCAACTGAATAATCAGGATTTCAAAAAGTATTTCTGTATCCTGACTTTCAGTGTAATTAAGTTTCATTCTTTTACTTAATGCAGGAGTGGTAACAAACGCCAGGCTGATACCAACGCCCCCTGGTGTTGTATCAGAAATCAAACGTCCGTTACTTCCAATGCAACCCTTCGAACGCCATCTGTACATTCCGCAGAAAAGTGGAGATTCAGGAGAAGATAACTCGTCAGACACACTAAATCTATACATAAACCAATTTCAACAGGTAAGAGTATTATAGTTGTGACCAAAGGTCATTGGAAAAGTTGATTATTCTGTTCCGTGTTTAGAAATGTTCTGTAATAAAAAATAGATGTAGATATGTACATTCTTGTACCACCCTCCTTAGTCCCCCTCATCATATCTTAGGGAGATATACATGTATGCGTACTCCACAATCTGATTAAAACCAGATCTTTGATTCCACTCCGATACCCTACATTCTAGTCACGGTAGGAGAAGAATTTCAAAGGTTTTACCTCTATTTCCCCTATTGGACCCCACCCCTCTGCTCCCAGGGTGTCCAAACTCACCGTTTATACAAAATTGAGTCCCCTTTGCCCAAAGATGCTCCAGACCAAAATGGAACGTAGAGTATCTGAGTGGAATCAAAGATCTGGTTTTTAATCAGATTGCATACTCCTATCCACAATAATAAGTGTGACAGGGTTCAATTGTACATAGGTTTAAGGTCGCCTTCTAGCTTCGAGCTAGGGGGAGTTTCCCTTTAGCTCAGTGGTAGAGCATCCGACTAGGAACCTGGAGATCGAGGGTTTGATCCCCTCGATAGCACACTATTCTCTTCCTGTTACAAATAGTGTCTGTGGCCCTCTCTGTAGTGACTGGAAGTTAGAACCTGAGTTGTGGTGTTCGAGGGCGAACACATTTAAAAAGGGGGGAGTAGTGTGGCAGGGTTCAATTGTACATAGGATTAAGGTCGCCTTCTAGCTTCAAGCTAGGGGGAGTTTCCCTTTAGCTCAGTGGTAGAGCGTCTGACTAGGAACCTGGAGATCAGGGGTTCGATCCCCGTTAGAAGCGCACTATTCTCTTTCATGTTACATAAGTAACAGATATAACATGTTCTGTAAGCTTGGGATACGCAAATGCACCAATGGCTTTAACCAAACCCAGAAATTCTCTGCACTGGAAAAATTTTAAAAGTTCAAACGTTGAGATATTTTATTTTGATATTGTATTACAGGTAACAAAGTCATCAGATGAGGCCAGATTATACACAGAACCATTACTACGGTCCAGGGTATGTTATAAAATCTAAATTTAAAATTAAAGAATGAAAATTGATTATTGATATGATAAAGTTGGGTGGGTTTAATTTAGCATACTATCTAGATGAGGATATAAATAGAAAAATACAGACAGTGCAACCCTATTGATACCTGGTAAAGGGATAAAATTAATGATAAGGAAATGAATATTAGAACCGAAATTCTATTTTATCTAACTGCTTTAAATAATACTTTAATTAATTCCAAGTAGTATATTACATTAATACCATTGACCCAAAGCAAAAGATGGCCTCCTACTCCTAGTAATAGGTTAAATTATGTTTTCCCCTATTGATTTTATAAGCACCTCACAGGGTTTACAGTAGTTCTTGTCAGTAACAAGTTGTGTCATGAGTTGTTCCCCCTTGATCGGGTTTAAATCCCCCGTGTTTCCCCTAAGTTAAATTTCTGTCTATAAATATGTCTGGCCTCTGTTTTGCAGGACACTTTTGATGAAGTCACACCACAGGTACAGGAGACATGTATAGCAGAGATGAAACAGGAGATAAACGAGCTAAAGTCAGCCAACAAAAACCTCTACAGTTTTGCAGTGGACGAAATATTACAAGAGAGAAATAAACCCTCCTGATATCAGTAATACATTGATGTTGTTTTATATGTGTCCCCATACTTAAACCATTTTAATACCCTCTGCAAGCTACTGATGTGGGGGTATGCTGGGATTGGGTTGTCTGTCTGTCTGTTCGTCTGTCTGTCTGTAGACGATGTTGGTCATACTACTACTACTCCTCCTAAAGTACTACACCAGTTTTGATGAGACTTGGTACACAGAACACATGGATGAGATGTGAATAAAGAATAAAATCAGGTCAACTTAGATTGGAATTACCTTCCCAATTTATGGAGTTATGCCCCTTTGTTGAAAACATTGTGCATGGTACTCCTCCCAAAGTACTGCACTGATTTGAATGATACTTGGTACACAGAACTTTTACATTGAGGGGATGTGAATCAATAATAGATTTGAGTTAACTTTCCACTTAAAACAATACTTTATTTTCTCCTAAAGTACCACAGCTATTTGAATGAACTGAAATTAATACACATAGCACTTACTTTTAGGGGATTTCAGTAAAGATTACAACCTCTCTAATTCAGCTCTAAAATGTATGTCTGCTTCACCCCATTAACCCTTTCACCCCTATGTAACTTTAGTAGACTCTACCATGCATTGATCTGGATGAGTCCATTATGGTCTACAGTGGTGAAAGGGTTAAACAAGTCACATATGTATAAAAACGTTTCAAATCTGTAAAGTGCACAGCCATAAAGGAAGGAAATCATGGTGTTCTTTCAGCAATAGAAAGAAAACAATCTATTTGTAATCAGTTCAATCATTTTGATGTTTTACAATTTTATTTTATTTTCATCATCTTTCAAAATCGTATGTTTTTATATTCATTCGTAGTTCATTTATTAATACACATACATAATCGTATGTACAAAAACAATAATGCAATAGAGCATATGACACTAAATTTACCCCAAATTTAGTGACATACAAGTGTCAAAAATAATCACCATTCTAGGCCTTCTTGGAAGAGGCCTTATTGCACTCGTTCCCAGGACATTTGTCAAAGTGGGTAGGGTGGGTTTATTTGCGGTAAAATTAGTATTTTTATGATATATATACTAAAACATGAATGACACTCTACAAGCATGATATAAACATTGTTTGAATTACACTGTATAATATATACATTGTTTGAATTACACTGTATAATATATACATTGTTTGAATTACACTGTATAATATATACATTGTTTGAATTATACACTGTATAATGTACACATTCAGGGTATGTATATTACACTGAATAATAAATACGTTGTATGTATTTCACTGGATAATAAATATACATTGCACACTCAACCGTTGTATAAATGTATCCATTCACTAGAGTACGTGTATTCCGTCTTTGCGTATTGCAGAGTTATCTTCTCTTGAGAGCAGGGATTGATTGTTACGTCACTTGTTTGTGAGAATAACGTCATCAGTTTTTGAGAAAACGACGTAATTTTCTCACACAGACAATGACGTAACAATCAATACCTGCTCCCAAGAGAAGATAACTCTGCAATACGCAAAGACGGAATATGGTGAAAGATATTAAAAAAGAAGAAGAAAATGGTGATGATACCACAAGTTTAAAGCTGTAATAAAATGTAAAAGACACCTCACATATCCAAATCCATTCACTACTGCTACAACTTCCTTATCTAGCTCTATTAAAACAACAACAGATTTCGGTTCAAACATTACCACTTTATACCATTATAATCTACAATAATTGATAAGTGTACCTTTTCGTTGAAAATGAAATCTCAGTTACGTCATACACCCATTGCCTACTATAGGTATGGTGGGAGGAAGTAACGCAACAGTTTAAATCAACCACAAAGAATTTATATATATATATATATATATATATAGATAGATGTTTTAGACATGAATTAGCTGTCTTCAATGATTAGAGTAGTGTTAATTAATTTTTGGTTAGTTTGTAAAAAAAAATCTTTCCTCAAATCTGGTGAAGACAAAAATGACCCAAAGATACCAATAATGTGATTTTAATTGCAACTATTTTTAATTCACATTAAAGTTATGGTTATAAAACACCATTAAGACCCAAGAAAACAAAATCTAATATTTTCTAAATTAGATATTTGAGTGAGTGTTGCGCTGGATTATATTTAAATAGGTTTGATTGAAATAGAAACTATTAATAGAATGACCCGAATCTTGACCCCACGTCTGAATCAGGTGATATACAAGTTACATCAGTTGGTTGGAATCCAACTGTTACAGTTATACACCTTTCAAATATTGAACTGATGATTTACAGAGGACATTGAATAATTTTCTTTGGTGAACGTTTCTTATAAAGAGATTTTATCAATATTGTAATCGGTTTCCAAAAGTACTGTAATCCTATGAGACGCACCTTTGCTTTGGTTTTATCAACACTCATTGGTCAGACCAAGTGTTGTCTTTTCTCTTGAACATATATTATTAGATACAACAAGCAGTCCTGATTTAAACTAAATATTGACAGTGTGGGTTGCCCTGTGGTCCGGCTATTCTTGCCGTGTAGTTTTAATACGGAGACAGATCTCTGTTCGTTCGTCCGTAAACCACATACAATCCAAATGTACGGTCAGCTTCAAGGCAGATTTATTAAACAGCATTTAAATATCAGCTTTACAATACATTAAATGTTTTGGTTCCTGAACCTGCATCGAATCAATTAAAGCTGTCTTTTTTTTCATTTTATTTAAAAAGGAAACACACTTTTGGAAGCCAAGACAATTACAATTATACAATGAATGTATTAAATACGATCAGGAGAAGGGAGATTTCTGTAATTACTTCTTTATAATAACTAATGTCGTATGACAACACCTAACGTGATAGCAACAGCGAAATGTAAACTTAATTTCTTTTACAACAATTATGAAGTTATTTCAAATTATATTCATTAATCTTATTGGCCCAGATGTTTAGCGCGCGGGGGGTTTTAATGTCAGAAGAAACTGGAGTACCCGGAGAAAACCTACGTGTCTTTATGTCAGAGGAAACTGGAGTACCAGGAGAAAACCTACGTGCTCGGGCAGGAGACCTCATACCTTTACACGTCCGATCGATCGGGGAATCGAACCCCGTTCGTCTTTGTGAAAGACAAGTGCGTTATCCACTGCGCCACCCGACAATCTAAGTAACTTTGAATAACAACAACTAAGGTCATATGACAACTGTTAAGGTTATCGTTATTTGCCCTCAGACAATGTCGTATGACACTGACTAATGAGGTCATATGACAACAGATAAGGTTATCGTTATTTGCCCTCAGACAATGTCGTATGACACTGACTAGTGAGGTCATATGACAACAGATAAGGTTATCGTTATTTGCCCTCAGACAATGTCGTATGACGCTGACTAATGAGGTCATATGACAACAGATAAGATTATATAACGATCCCTAATGTTAAGGCCAGAGCTAAGGTCAAATGTGCGTATTGCAGAGTTATCCGCTCTTGTGAGCAGGTATTGATTGTTACGTCATTTGTTTGTGAGAGTAACGTCATCATTTTTTGAGAAAACGACGTAATTTTCTCCTACTAAACCACTGACGTAACAATCAATACCTGCTCACAAGAGAAGATAACTCTGCAATACGCAAAGACGGAATAGGACACCTAAGTTCCTTTATTGACGGTTAAGGTTATAGCGATCGTTTTAGTTTATGACAACANGGGGGGGGTATCTATTCCAGAACTGTGTAAGTTAAAATTTTACATAAACCAAAGTAGCTCTACGCAAATTAAACTAACGAGGCTTAGACAGGTAGACACGTATAGTGTCCTGGAGAACAGCTGGCTGCTCCGGGCATTAGGGGCGCTATTATCGTAATGTAAACTTTCGGAATTGGAAAGAAAACTCGTATTATTCCATTTAATTAAAGATGGTATTCGTGCTCAGCGCCCCGTTTCATTGTCAGGCTTGCTGGCGGGTTTATAATTTCGTACGACGACCTGTAGTTAATCTTTTCACACATGTACACTATAATTGAAAAGACGTTTTAGTAATATGCTATCTCTATACGTGCTTTTAATGTCGCTATCGGTTCACGCTTAAACCAAGGGTTCTCAGGTAATCTGAAGTGACTGTTTGTACTAGAATTACTTATTCCTTAAAACAAGTTCAAATATGGTTTGATCTTTAAACATTGAATAACATGAATCATAAAACGTTTAGCTTTCAAAATTGTGATCACTAGAGTGCCCGTTGACAACTACCACTCGTAATCATGTAGGGGATACAGGCTCTAGGTTGGAATCTAGTGCGGACACAAGTGTCACTTGTCAAACATGTCACTTATGACGTCACTCATACATATACTCTAGTTAGACTACGACAATCTAATTTCACATTTCATACTCGATCGCAAAAGTGTTGAGAGATTTATCTCACCTCTATGTTTGTAGGATGCACGTGTCCCATTCGGAACACAAATGTTGAGAGATTTCTCTCACATCTATGTTTGTAGGATACACGCGTACGTGTCCCATTCGGAACACAAATGTTGAGAGATTTCTCTCACATCTATGTTTGTAGGATACACGCGTACGTGTCTCATTCGGAACACAAATGTTGGATATAGCGTAAGAATACTTGTTTCCAACATGGGTGCACTTATTGATCTTTATTATCATGACGTCACAATCAGATGACAGCGTTAATTAAGGATTAACTTGAATATATTTTTTATGTTATGAAGGTAAAACACAAAAACGGAGTGTAGTCTAAATAAACCACGAAGCGGTTTATGATGAGAGTACACTCTGGGTTTTTGTGTTATAGCTCCATCACCTAAAAAATATATTCAAGTCAATCCTTATAATTTAATCTTCTATACACAATCGCTGTGCAAATCCACTTTTATTGATGGCCTCTTTTCTCTTAGAAATTATTACGCCGCTGTATCAGCCAATAAAAAGCGACGTTACAAACGGCGACGAACCATTTTTACGTTATGTGCTGATAACATTTTTTTTAAGTCATTGAAAATGATTGTTACAAGCAAGATTAAATTA